CGCCAGACACAACCAGCACGGACCGCACGAGCCGCAGACCCGACAGCACAAGCACCGGTGCGTACGGCGAGGACTGCGAGCCGGAAAGATACACAAGCGGCGTCGACCTCGCGGCAACCAGCAGGGAGTCCGTCACAGTCAGCGCGGACCCCGCGGGAAACGTGCCGGTCAGCACAAGCGCACCGTTCAGCGCCTCCACATCGCACACGGAGAGCTCCACCGGCCCGCTCTCGTTGCTCCCCGCCGCCACCGCACCGCGCAACGCTCCTCCGCCCATCACGTACAGCACGGCACCGTTCTGCAGCGACACGTTCTGCACAACGATCCGCACACCGTCTCGCGCCATCCACGGCACGTAGAGCACCGGACTCACGCCGTCCAGCACAACGTGGCGCAGCGTCACCTCGCTTGCGCCGGCAGGCACAACGAACACCGACCGCACCGTCAAGTTCTCGCGGACGAACACACTCGACGCGGTGCCCACGGCGGGCGGCAGTGCGGGAGCTCCCACAGGCACGCACGCCTCGCCGTACCCGCCGCTGCCGCACGCGCACACGCACACACCGTCCTTCATGCTCGCCGTCGCCGTCCCGGGCGCGTAGCAGTGCGTGTCCCTGTCGCAGGCGTCGCACCCAGCAACGTCGATGCTCCCAGCGTCGCCAAAACCAGCCGCTGCGTACTCCTCCGCCGTCGACAGGACGCGTCCACCAGCGTCGTTGCATGCCACCCTCAATTGCGCCCCAGCCGCGAGAGACAGGCTCACCGACAGCATCCGCGGCAGCAGCGCTCGGTTGCGCACAAAGCTCAGCGTGCTCCCAGCAGCGGTCACGGCGCCAGCGGCGTAGAGCATCTCCCTCGAGACGCCGTCGTGCACGTTGCCCTTCGCCAGCAGCATCGACCCGCCGACCAGGCTCACCGTCGAATCAAACGCAACCGCGTAGTCCTCCGTCGACGCAAAGTCGCTCCGCACAAGCGCCACAGCGGAGCCCGACACGCTCACAGTCCCACGCACAGACACCGCGTGCTTGCACAGCAGGAAGTCGCTGTCAACAAACGCCACCACAGAACCGCCGCTGGCCGCAACACCGCCCTCCACCGACACGCACAGCCCCAGCGCCGTCTGCACCGACAGCCCGTCCACGTACAGCGCACTGCGCGACGACAGCGCCACGCCGCCAACCACCAACACGCCAACAGCGTCGCCGAACACCGCCGCCACCTGCGTGCGCGCAATGGTCAGCACGCTCCCCGTCAGATTCACCTTGTGCACCACAAGGCACGCGGAGGCGTCGCCAAGGTCGTAGGCGCCGCGGTACGCAACGCGCTTCTCTGCAATCAGCACCGAGTCCACCACAGTGACGCGCGAGCCCGGCGGAAATCGGTTCGCCACCAGCACACCGCCGCCGGAGCGCGACTCAAGTCCGCTGATCAACACATCGGCACGCTGGCCAGCAGGCGGGTCGGACAGCCACCCGACAACGTACAGGCTCGCTCCGCCCACAAGCGTGCAGTTCGCCAGCGTCACGTTGCGCACGCTCCCCGACATCAAGCCCACGTCCACCACGACGTCCGCCGCAAAGGTCACACCAACGTAGCACGCCACCGACGTCCCGAAACCGGCGCTCACCTCCCCATCCACACGCACGTCCTGCACGCACGAGTCGGCGCCGTCGGTGCTTGAGGGCTCGGGAACAGCGACGGGCAGGCACGCATCGCCGTGGCCGCCCTCCGCGCACGTGCAGGCGCAGCCACCACTCGACGCCGTCGCCGTATACGCAGGGAAGCACGACGCCGCAAGGGTGCATGGGTCGCTGCAGTTCAGTATGGTCGCATTGTACACGGACGGAATACTGTATTCCACCCCCTCCTTGTCGTTCACAGTGTTGCACGCGGCCACAACCGTTGCGTTTGTGAGATCGCTGGACCCTGAGTGTATCCAAAGCACCTTCGGCGTGCCCGTGCTGGAAATGAATTTGTTGCCGGACACAGACACCGTGGAGTTCCGTAGATTCACCCCGGGGTATGCGTAGGCAAAGGCATCCGATGGGGATTCACGGCAGAGGTTGCCGCTCAACTGCAGCCAGGAGTTGTAGTAGACATAGGTGTAGTAGTTGGTGAAGAACACATTCAAACTTCCCTGCATGTCATTGCCCTGAAAAACAACCGCTGACCAGGACTCCACACGTAATGCCCAATAAAATAACATGAAATACTTTACCGGCCTCGACGCAATGTTGTCTCGGATTACCACAGCGGAATTGTTCAGTACATCCAGCGACGAGGATTGTCCAGACCCTCCAAGATATATCAGCGTAGCGCCACCGCCGTCCATATGAAACATGTTGCCCACCACTGCAAACAGGGAGTGCCACGACACCCTCAGCGGAGATCCAACAACGTAAATGGCGCTTGACGATGCCGTCACGCTCTGAAACACATTGCCACTGAGCAGCACCGCGGAGTCATTGCTGACCACCAGCCCATTCATCGCAACACACGACGGCCTTTTAATGTCCAATCCCGACCGAGAGATCAGCCTCGTGACCTTGAAGCGGTTCCCGCTGATCGTGATGTTCGTGTGCGGTGGAAAATCACCTTCCGGGCTGAGCAGTGCGTCATCGAACGTGTTGCCGGTGACAACAATGTTCAGCGACCCCACAGCGGCGTGCGCGTTGCCCAACAGCAACAGCACAGCGCCGTCCCTCCACGTGCATCCATCAAACGTGATGTTCGCCACGTCGCCCGTCATCCCCCCAATCAGCACCGTCAGGCTCATGCCGCCCCCGCTGAACGTCACGTTGCGGTAGCACAGCCACGACAGCCCGCTGCCCACAGATTGCGCCACCTCGGGGTACACCATGTCGCTGATGCACTTACCATTCGGCGGCGGTGACGGTGGTGCGGGCGGCGGTGGCGGCGGTGGCGGGCCAGCAGGCACAGGCGCCGGGACGCACACATCGCCGTGCCCTCCAGCAGCGCACTGGCACTTGCAGTCGCTGACCGCCGTCGTCAGCGGAGCAAAGCAATCGCCCTCCTTCGTGCACTCCCCGCACGCGACAACCGTCGTCACGTTGGTGATGCCATTCAGCTCCAGTTCAGCCGCCGTCGTCAGCACCCGTCCCGCAACCGTCAGACACCCAGCAACGAACCCGTAGCCGGCGTCAATCCGCGACAGCAGAGACTTAGACAGCCCCGTCGATCCCATCTTGCAGCCCGTCAGCGTCACCACACTGCTGCCATCGATGTTCACAGAACCGCCAAAGGAAGAGTAGTAGAACATCGCACCCGCTCCCACGTCGTTGTCGCGCCAATCCAGCCAGCTTGAATTCCGGACGCTCCAAGAACTATATGCATAGATGGTGTAGGAAACGGAACCGCTGTTCCCCACCACGCGCACCACGCTGTGATTCGACACGGTGAGGTCTTGGTACTGATAAAGGAATCTTGTCCCGGTGGCCATCGTATTGTTGAGCAGCGCAAAAACGGAGCGATCACTGGCAATAAGCCTATACATGTACAACATGTATTTGTATTTATGGAAGCTGCAGTACCGCGTGTACAGCGAGCTGCCGCCCACCAGCGTCAGCGTCCCCATCGAGTACAAACCATATCCACCGTAACCCAATGCACGCGCCTTGACGTTGCTGACCAACAGCGAGGACGCACTCAACACAACGTCGTCCAGCTTCACGACGATCAAAATGCGGTTCACAGAATTCGGCAACTGCTCCGCGTCGACTTCAGTGACGGCGATGTCGCAGTGCTGCGGGAGGGCACGCCTAAATAGAACAACGGAGGACCGCATCACCGTCTGGCTCACGCGGATCAGGACGCCGGCTGACTCGGCCGCCTCAGTGCCCCCAACAAACTGCAGCGCGGCTCCGTCACGGAATGTGCACCCAGTGAGCGTGATGTTGATGGGGAGATGCAGCGGCATACTGTTGAGGGAGAGCGTCAGCAATGCACCCACGCCGCTGAATGTCACACCCACGTAGCAGTGGTGCGTCTTCCACATGTTCAGCGCGAGGCTCGTCAGCGTCTGGTTCACCACGCAGCTCGTGTCGCCGTCCACGGCTCTCTCCGGTAAGGGCGGCACAACCGTGTCGGGCACCGCAAAGGGAAGACACGACGCGCCATGCCATCCGCCCTTGCAGCTGCACGAGCACGAGCTGCGGTCCACCGACTCCGTACCGGGCATGTAGCACGCCGCGTCGTCGTTGCATTTGCTGCACCCAAACACCACCACGTCCTCCGGAAACACGCCGTCGTACAACACCTCCTTCTCGCCCTGCATGTTGCACCCAACCACAAACCGCGCGGGTGACGTCACAAACGAATCCGATGGAATGCTCGCAAAGGCTTTACTCGAGTCCGCCTGACGGTTGTGAGCAAGCGACACGGTGGTGCCGCTGCCCGACAGTCCAATAGTATACCAGGAATACGGCATAATGAATACTGAGGCTGCGCTCACGTTGTTGCCCTCCACACGCCACTGCGCACCACCCTGAAGAGCAACCTTGACGCTCAACTGCACCAGAGCAGAATCCAAAGCCTCCGTGCTGCCAGTGAAGGTGCAGTCCGCCACTCTCAGCAGCCCCGCGGAGCTCACAGAAACCAACAACTGAAAATAAATGCCGCTGGCTGCGCTCATCGTGTTGTTCTCGACGTCAATGTAGCCGCCGTTCTTTAATTCAACATCTTTATAATAAATGGCAGACTCCGAGCTGTAATCCCTCTTTGTTGACTTCAGCGTATTTCCCTTAATAATGATCCCGCCCCCATCAACAACAACAGGAACGGGGAAGGAGACTGCGAAACTCTCCCCCTCCATGTTGTTGTCGAGCAGCAGCAGCGTCGAGTTCGTACCCAAAGTAAACCTTGGAAATTGAATGGCATGTCTCGACGCTGACAAGAGCTTACTGCCCGCCACCAGCATCTGGGAACTCGCGCCAAAATCATCCTCAAACTCCAACTCACCGGAATCCAGCATCGAGGATGTCACGCTCAAGTGCACGCTCGCACCACTCCCCTTGATCGACAGGCCCATGAGGACGCACTGCAGCAGCGTGATGTTGAGTGTCTTTCCTGGCGCGTCGAAGCTCCACAGGTCCAGCACAATCGCGGCGGTGAAGGTCACGTTGACAAAGCACAGACCACGCGCACCGGGATCAGGATAGTCCACGGAGCTGATGCTGTCACCGTGCACGCAGCGGACCTCCGTATCGTTCGCATCTGAGAGCGGGAGCGGTCCAAGGCCGTCCGGAACCGCAGCTGGCAGACACGTGCCGCCGTAGCCGCCGGAAGCGCACACACACCCACAGCCGCTGATGCTGCTCGTCTTCGCTGCGAAGCACACGGCGTCCACGGTGCAAGTGCCACAGTCCAATGCCGTCACGGGTGTCCTAATATTAAGCTCGTTTCTGTAATCAGTCACAGGAGAGCCCCTTGCCTCGTTGCACGTGCCGTAGATGATCGGGCGCGAGTCGGACGGTGGTGACCAAAAACTTGTCATGTATGCAGTCATCGACGAATAGGAGCCGTAACCAAAGTCGTTGTGAAGTATCGACCACACACTCTGATCACGGAATGCCACGCCGTTCTCGCTTTCCACGTACACAACGTAGGCGGTGCGGAACTCGTTGTCGCGGTGCACCAGCCAGCTGCCGTCAGTCACAGTCAGCGTGGTTGCCATGACCATGGCAAAGCCGAGTTGGAACACACTGGACACAACCTGCAGCACGCTGCCGCCAGACACCACAACGTCCCCAAACACACACGCGCCTTTGTAGTACTCGGTGCTCGGCGCACTCCACGAGCTGTTCTGTATGGAGAACACGGAGCCGCTGCTGACACGCAGGCCCGACGCAAGAGCGTACATCACGTGCATCTGCGAATTGACAGCGCAGTTGTCCATGTAGAAGACGCTGGACAGGTTCACACCGAGGCCGCGCTCCACAAGTATCGCAGCGCACGAACCCCCGCCACACACCAGCTTCGACCGCGTCATGACAAAACACGTCGACAGAAGACGGACGCCGTCCAGAACAAGCGCGGGGCCGTACCGGGATTTCTCGTGGCCAGGAGTCGTCGGCACGTAATGCGACCCGCCAACCGTCGCGCGCAGCGTCGAGTTCGCCAGCAGCACACTCGAGTTCAGCGGCATCGCGCCATGCAGCACGATCGTGCTCTCCAGCGACGTCACATTCGTCATGTTGACAAGGGCGTGCGGCACCAGGTGCGCTGTGCTCTCGCTGAGGCCGCCAATCCGCAGCTGCGCGCCGCCCACAAGCATGCAGTGGCGCAGCGTCACGTTCAGCGCGTCAGCGAACACGTCCATCGAGCGCAGGTCCACCGCCACAGTGATCGGTCCGCTGAACACCACCGAGTCGAAGCACGCCGTCGCCTGACCGCCGCCAACCGTCACCGACTCCGTCAGCGTCACGCCAGTCACGCAGCCCGGCGCACCGCCACCGCCGCCGCCGGCCCTCGCAGCCGGCACGTCGAACGGCAGGCACGCCTCGCCCACACCGCCGGCACGACAGTTGCACACGCACTCGGAGAACGACGCCGTCAGTGCATCGAAGCACGCCAGCGCAGCCGCACAGCCGTCGCACGGCACCACGCTCACGGAGGGCAGTCCGGCCAGGCGGTAGTCGCCGCTGCTCTGCAGCACGCGGCCGCCGGCACGGTTGCACTGCACGGACACAGCGCCGCTCGTGATCGTCGGCCCGGCGGCAAGCGTCGCGCCGGTGGCAGCGCAGCGAGCAATCGACACGGCGCCGCCGCCCAGCGTCACCCCTGACAGCGACGCAACAGACGACGCCTCGCCCACTGCCCACACTTCGTGCAGGTCCAGCCACCCGCCGGCACCGACCGTCCCACCGCCGCAGCGTACCAACGGCGATGCAGCAGACCCCTCAACGCCCACGAAGCGCAGCACAGACTCAAACACCGCGAGGCGCTCGCCAAGCACAATGCCGCCGCCGTTGCTCACAACCGACACGTTCGTCACGGAGAACACCGAGTGGTTACGCAGACTGAGACGCGACGAGGACGCCACATGCATCGCGGACGCGGTCGGACCGCCCGACGCCTCCAGCGACACGCCGTCAAGCACCACAGCGCTCGACAGCAGGTCCACACCGCCGCCAACGTACACCGCCGTCCCGCCCGCCTGCGACGACCTCAGCACGGTGCTTCTCACACGCAGCTGCGTCTGCAACAGCGACGTCGCGTGCAGCACAAGCGGCGACGCCACCGCGTCCGTCAGCCCGCTCAGCTGGGAGTAGCGCATCGGCCCCGGCGTCACAATCGTCGAGTCACGGACCGTCACGTTCGTGTGTGCCGGCAGGTTGTGCACAAACACGAGCGAGCAGTAGCTCCCGGACAGCCCGCTCACGCTCACCTCCAGGCTCCGGTCAGTCGCCGGCTCGCCGCTGTAGCCCCGCACGTATATCTGCGCACCGCCGTCGCACACGCAGTCCCTCAATTCGATGCGCAGCGCGCCGGGAAGCATCGCCGCAACGTCGAGCACCACAGCCACGCCGTTCGTGATGCACACGCCGTCCATCAGCACCGTGTCCACAGCGCGGCCCACCGTGATGGCTCTCTCCACCGTGCCGCCCCGCAGTCGCAACGCCACCGCATGCACCGCGGGCATCCACGCCGCCAACGACACCAGCGCCAACACCAAAAGCAGCACCGCCACACGCACAGCCGCAATGGCCCTGCGCCGCACGCGGTGCCGGCTGTGCGGACACGCACCCGCCGCAGACCACATCCACCAACCCAAACAGGTATCAACAGGGCTGTCGTGGTGTGTCGCACTCGTCTCGTCGACCGTGCCTCCTGCTCCGCAAATCCCTTCCTACAGATTTCAAATACAGTGACCCGATTCCGCCAGATCGTTATCCCACTACTACTAATAATAATCCTACTGCTGCGAGTAATTCCTAAAACCTTGAAACGCTAGCTGTGGTGGTCAAGCCACAGTATCTCTATCTGCAAGGTAAAACAAGAAAGAGGCAGCAACAACAGTAGCCAGACACAGCAGCACGCAGCGGCATCCGGCCACAGACATTCCACATCACATCACAGCCAGCAACACAAAGACGCGCAGACGCAGTCAACCCAGTGATGCCATCGGCCTCCCACCACCCGCGCAGCCCCGCACAACCGCCGTGCAGAGTGGCGGGACCCCGGCAAAGAGGCAAATGACCATTGGCACCGCCCTTCTCACCAAATGCCTCCAACACATGACGACCCCGATGCCGTGGACAAAACACAAAAGCCGAGGCAGATACACGTGGCATTGTTGCAACCGCCAGCCATCGAGCGCGTCCGTGAACGTGGTGGTGGTGGTGGCGCAGAAAAGGGGCGGTGAGTGCGTCAGTTGCCAGTAGTCAAAGCGTCGTTTCTCGCTCACGTGGGTCGGCATTGCAGAACAAAGAGCGGCATCATGCGCGCACGGCATGCACAAGGGCAAAAAAGACGAATAAAGAAGCACGGTGGCGGCACTCAGCCACGGGGGACAAGGACCCACATCGACTCTGCGGTCGGTTGACCTTCAGACGTCCGGTTTGTAATCACGCCGCCGCCGCGCAGTTCGTGTGTCTGCAGGAGACTGGGGAATGGAGGGAGGGAAGAGAGAGGCGGTGCGGCCCGCATCGATCTCAGTTGGGTGTGACAACGGTGAGGTCATCTCGTCAGATCGCCGGCAGCAAAGACGGTCGCCGTCAGCGGCGGTCAGTGCCTTCCTTCTCCCACCGCAGCGCCACTCCACCGACGCCGTCGCCCGCCTCCTCCCCACCGACACAACG